TTTAGTAAGGAAACTTAGATTATAAGATGTAAGAACCAACAGTTGTTTAAAGATATTTTGTATTTTTTTTTTATAAAGTCATGAATTTCTTTTTTTTTGCTTTAGCACTTGTTGATACCACAAATATGTCAAAATCCGATACAAGTATTCTCGTACCACGTTCATTATTCGACCGATCAAATTTATTACTTAACACTCAATCATCATCATTATCAACAAATACATTCAATAAATCAAAACAAACACCAAATAATAATAATAATAATAATAATAAAATGTTTTCATCAAACATTCCAACACCCATAACACCACAAGCAAATATTAAAGCACGTCAATTATATGTTAATAATGGTACAACAACTACTCCACTTCCAAATTCCTCAAATACAAATGTTATTGTTTCAGCATCAACATCATCACGTCCAATTAAACTTGAAGAAATGCTTTCAAAAGATAATTTTCAAGGTTTACTTGAAATTGATAATAGTGATTGGCTTATATCCGAAGATTATAAAGTCTTAGATACAATACAAAATATACAACAATTACCATTAACATCAATGTCATTTTCAAGTACATCAAATGCAAATAAACCTCAAACAATTTTATCAAATTCATCATTATCATCATCACCATTATTACCATCATCAACAACAATAACAACACCATCATCATCATCCTCATCATCATCAATTGTTAATAATACAACAAATGCATTAACACAAAATTGGGATTTTATATCGGATGTTGTTAATCGTTATTCACGTGTATTACGTACACCAAAACAATGTAAACATCGTTTTGAACAAGTTATTGGACCACGTGAAGAAGGTCGTGTTGTTTATGATTTAATTAAAAAAAAGAAACATGTTATTAAAGGAACTGTAAAAGTAAGACAATTAAATAAAACAAAATGATCTTAGAAAATTTTTTTTTTTTTTTTTTTAATAATTTTAAGATGTCAGATGATAATTGGCAAATGTTACGTACAAATCAATTATTTGTTCATGATAATTGTCAAAAATTATTACAAATGTATCATCAAAAATTTGATACAATTTTACAATTTGAACAACAATTATCATCATTGATTTATTTAAATAAATTTAAACAAATACAAATAGCTCAAGCTGCACATCATCAAACAAGAGGTTTAAAACAAGGTGCACTTTTACAAGAAAATAGTATGTTAACATAAAAAAGAAAAAACAAAACAAAACATTAGAATCTTTATTTATTCGACTTTTCTTTTTTTGTTTTTTTGCTTTTCTAAAAGATATTAATTTTGATGTACCATTAACGCCAAGTGATGTATCATATCAACGATCAGAACGAGAAAAAGAATTGAAACAACAACAACAACAACAGCAACAGCAACAACCATTAACACAAACTATTACTGGAAATGTTCATCAACAACAACAACAAATTCCAATAACACAAAATAATATTGATACTATCAAACAACAAACACCTCCTCCTAATGCAACATTAACATCAACAATTAATACTCGAGTAAGTCTTGTTTGCTTCTTTTTTTTTTTATTGTTTTATTTATTACTTTTATTTAGGTTCGACCGTCAACATTAAATACTACACCAACACCAATTAATTCATCACCTTCACCATCTCTATCACTTATTCAATCACCTTCACCATCAAATTCTCCTACAATTCAACGATCTATTTCGAATAATATTATTGTTGCAAGTAATAATCATTCAAATATGAATACAACTCGTTCTCAAAGTAATATTTTACCATCTCGAACTAATGTAAGTAATTAACAAAGCAAAAAAAACAAGAAAAATATTTATCGTTTATTTTTATTATTCAATTCTATAGTTTTCATCTTCAACAACAACAACATCAGTTAATTCAATTTCTTCATCAAATCAACCATCTATTCCAACAGCTACTATCTTACCTGGACAAAGACAAGTACAAGTTTTACCAACGAATAATAATTTAATAAATGAAACAAATTCTGTACAACAAAAACAAGTTGGAACAGGTTAAATAATATTTTCTAGTTTTTTTCTTTTTTATGAAGCACGATCTACAAGGAATGTTGATTGAATAGGGGTTAGCTAGAAATATTTGAAACTTTGTCGTCAGCATGACTGAATTTTTTCGATGAATTTTTAAAAAAATTTGGCATGAAAATGAGTAGTAGGGAACTGATTAATAGAAAATCAAATGGTAATATCTTCAAAAAATAAATTTAGAACGTCTGAAATTTTTAAAATTCAACTATCTTTTGTGTCGTGACGGCGGCAGCTTAGTTGATCGGCTTACACTTCTAATCATATACCAATAACGTCTCGTTCTAATACATAAACTACATACGTCTTTATTGCATTTCTGAATGATTAAGTAAAAGGATGGTGAAGAAATATGTTCCGAAATAGATAGAATAAAACGATCTCCTTGTGATTAGCAACAGCAGCTACATCGGGTTTTACATTTTAATCCCATAGGGACTGCGCTAACAGCTTTTCTTTTCTAATTGTAATTTTTATTTTTTATTTTTTTATAGTTCAAATTTCGTCTAATGAATATCGTCACGTACGAGCTCTTCCTCATCAACATCAAACAACAGCAACATCGACAACAAATCCATCATCAACATCAGCTAATATTCAAGTTCGAGCACAAAATTATCAACGAAGTCAAAGTCAAGTATGTATATCTTTATTTAAATTTAATTAATAACAAATCATTTGAGATCTTAAATTTTTACTGAAAGAATATCATACCAAAGATTAATTCTACATAGTTATAAAATTACTAAAAAACTATGCATTATTACTAAATAAATACGTTTATTTTAGACGACTCCATTAGCTACTCTTGAGGTTCGTTCACAACTTCCACTATCTCCAAAATCTCAACAACAACAACAACCAACACAAACACGACCATCATCAACAACTTCACGTGCATCATCAGTAACACAAACACAAGTTGATTATCTTATTCAATCACAAGCAAAATCTCTTGCATCATCAACTGTAAATAATTAGAATAAACAAATGAAATTCTATATATTCTATTTTTTATTTTTGTATAGCCTCCATCAACTCTTCCAGTTGCCGTTGTTCGTCCAATGCAACATTCATCAACATCTATTGCTCCAACAATATCATCTTCTTCTCCAACATCACCATTAAATATTCCTTCTTTAAATGTAACAATACCTTCAAGTAAGTCAAAATTTTCTTTAACTAGTTTAAATATTATTTTGTTTTTGCTATGTTTTATTATTTAATTAATTATAATTATTCGTAAACATTATTGATAATTAACAATTCAATAATAATATTATTCTATTTAGATAAATTAACAACTAATACAACAACTACAACAACAAATAATCCTACTCAACAATTACGAACTGCAACTGCATTTTTATCAAATCCAACATCATCTTCATCTCAAGTACAACAAGCAACACCACAAATACGACAATTATTTACAAATGCTAATAATACTTCACTTCAAACACAACAAACAACTAATACACAAAGATTGACTGAAACTGCTCAACGTTCACCTAGTAGTGTAAGTATACAAAATTCATTCCTACGCTTTTATATATATAGCAGTTCGAAAAAAGTAAAAATATTTTGAAACATCCAGAGCTTATACATGGCTGAGTATGATCTCAAACCCGGACCCAATCGAGTGAGTTTGCACCTGAACCTAGGCTTCAGGCAGGACCAAATTCCGGGCATCCGACCCTGTTTCAGAATACTAATTGCTAAAGAATGACTTTATCCACATATAAGAAATAAACATGCCGAGAAAATTTATCCAATTAATGTCTAAAACAAAAGTGAACTCGTTTTTTTTGTTTTTCTATAAATAGATTCAACAAATAATTGCGTCTCGTACGGCATCTCTACCTGGTCAAGTTCGTAATGTTCGTATTCTTACATTTACACCTGGAACTAATCCAACAACAGGTATTGCTGATACAACAACAACAAATACTCAACAATCACCTATACAATCAACTAATATAACATATAATCGTGCAAATTCATCGGCATCATCATTTCCACGTTCAACAATTAATATTGATCAAGATATTTCATCTGATTTAGCTGCTCAAGTACATCGTATTAAATCATTTAATGTAACAAATACAGATCCAAATGATGCAACACAAACGCCACGTGCTGTACTTGTACCAGCACGAACAATATCAGGTTCATCAACATCATCAGTTGGTTCAACATCAAAAATCAAACCATCATCACTCATAGATCCAACAACACTTGGTTTTACAACAAAAACATCTCAAGCTAATATTGTATTTCAATTACCATCATCGACATCAACAACAACAATAGGAAGTGATGAACAAACAATAACGAATTCATCTAATGTAACACGACAAAATTTATTACAACATTTAAATGTAATATCATCAAATATGAATCAACGAGCACAATCACCAACAACTATATCAAATACAACAAATCCCATAACTTTTAATCGTCTACTTCAACAATATCAAATTCGTCCTGCAGCTACACTTAATTCTTCAACATCAACAACACAAATATCTTCGGGACAAACGATTAATGAACAAATATTATCATCATCTTCTCCTCCTCCTCCACTACCATCTGCTTCTGCTTCTTCTTCTTCTTCTTCTACAACTTGATAATTGTTTTCTTCTTTTTTTTTTGTCTCTATTGTCTATGTACAGTTAGTCATGTTTGACCGTTTTTTTTCTAGTCAAAACAAAAAAGAGAAAACTTATTTTTTATTGTGCATGCTAGAGAACATGTTGTTCATCTTTATATACATTATATATATACATATTATTGAAAGAATTTCAACAAGCAAAAACAAAAGAGATCTTCTCAGGGATACGGATGTATGTTTTCATTTGTTCAATATTCTTTTTCCTAAGAAGATCAACAAATAAAAAGAAAAATCAATTGGTTTGTTTGTTCCTCTTTTTTTTTCACTTTGATTATTATTAGATGAAAACAAAAGAAGAAAAATTAATACAATATTTATTTCCAACAAAAAAGAAGAATAAAACTACAAATGATAGTATGGATGAGAAACAAAAATATGATAGACGTTTATTGGCATTTCTATCATCAGATAAGGTAATAGTCGTGAATTATTTTTTTTTTAGCATATTAGCAATGTTTTGTTGTTTATATAAAAAAGCAAGATTTAAAAAATATAACAAAACAAATGATTCGATATATTTAGTTTTAATTTATGCGATGTAGTTTGATCAGTTCAGCGTTTATAGGAGGAAAGGAGAGAATAGAATGATTTGAAAAGTTTCATTTTTTTTGTTTTACAATGATAGTTTTGAGTTGACAAAAGTAGTATCGTTCTTTTTCTTTGATTTGACTAATATGATAAAAGAAAAGAATATTTTTAATAGCACATATACTTTAAACACAAATTTTTCGAAAAACATCTCTTCAGTCACTAATTCTACTGTTATAAAATTTACAAAAAACTAATCTATGGTATATGTCATTCTTCCTTTTTCCTTCCAATGATCATTATAGAGTCCATTCAATGATGTAACATTTCTTATCTGTCAAGATGTCGGACTAGTTGTGAAATACATTTGATTCACTAGTCAACATATTCGCTAATATATATCGTGCGACTAGTGATGTCCAGACTAAGCTTTTTTATTTCCGGTAACGTCTTTTTTAACAATCCCGGCTATGGCCTTGGTGAATCCAATCTAATGTCTGCGTCAGGATTAAGAGGAATAGATGTAAGTTCAATGACTCGACAATGGCAACAGTTAGCGACTTGTGGTTTTCAAAAGTCCAGAGAGGAAAACTTTGCATGTGTTTTTGTTTGGTATTATATCAGATAAAATTATTTAAAAATTCATCAACTTCTCGAAATATCCAAAGAAATGCAAGAAAACGGTGTTTCATTTCAAGAAAATTTACTAAAAAATATTAAAAGAATTCTATATAATTTGACCGAAAAGATACGCGGTTTCGTTTGCTTAGTATGGATATATGATAAGTTAATTACCTGACTCATGCCTTGAACTATAGATCTGAAGTTTCTCTATTAGAAGTACATATCAAAATCAAAATTATATTAAAACGGAAGACCATTTTCATGCAATTTTTTGAAAATATGATGAGTTTTCAAATAATTTTGTCTCATATAGTATCAGACAAAAAGACTTCCAGAGTTCTCTTTCAATTGCTGAAAACTACAGATCACTAACTGTTGTGGTTATCGAATTATTAAGGCTTTTTCTCGTAGTCCTGATCTGATCGCGACAACCTTCCAAATTTTTATCTCACACATCTTCGATATGTGTTTTGCCTGCAAAGAGAAAAGGGTTCTAATGAAGATTTTATTGTTCTAAATCTGTCAATGGTGTACGTCTTGTCCTTCAGGAAAACCAATAATTCATAAAGTTAGTTGCAGATTATATGATTTGATATTTTTCAATGGTATTCCTGCGAGTTTAAACGCCAATGAACATTCGAGGGTATAGAGTTAAGGTAGAGATATTCCTGCATAGGATTTTACAAGTCCTTGCGAATAACTTCAATTGAAAAAAATATTCTAGCTCAATTGAAATAAAAAATTTCTTAGTATAGTAGTTTTCGCTTTTTATATAAATGAATATTAGAGTTCATTCGACAGACAATTGCTGAGAAATTTTAAAAGAAGACTATATAATAATCTAATTGTTTAATCATTATCATAAAATGATAATTACTAATATATTCGTTTTTAATTTGTCTTCATTTATTTTTTCGAACAAAGTTTTTTTTTTTTTTATTGTTTGATTTATAAGTATATTATGTAAAGAATGTAAATAATATTTAATTTTTTAGCTCGATGCAACATTGTATCGTCGAATTCTACTACAAATACCAACAAAAATAATTCCACGTATGGCTAATCCACTTCTTCTAGCTGATTTTTTGACTAGTTCATATGAAACACAAAATAATGCATCAAAAATTCTTGCACTACATGGTTTATATATATTAATGACACAATGTAATCTTGAATATCCATTCTTTTTTGGTAAACTTTATTCATTATTAACAATTGATTTATTTAATGCTAAATATAAAGCAAGATTTTTTTATTTACTTGATATATTTTTACAATCATCGTATGTAGATTATTTGGTTTTGTTTTATTTTTTTTTTAAACAAAAATATATTTTTCAAATATTTAATTTAGACATTTACCAGTAAATTTAATTGCTAGTTTTGCTAAACGTCTTGCTCGATTATCTCTATTAATACCACAACATGATCAATGTTTAATTATAACATTTATATATAATTTAATTATAAGACATCCAACAATTCGAATCATGATTAATAGACAACAAACTCAATCAATAGATTCAAATAAAGATATTTATTCATCTAAAGAACTTGATCCAAACAAAACAAATGCTATTGAAAGTTCATTATGGGAAATCGAAGTAAAAGAATTTAATAAATTTTATTATTGAAAACTATATATATATATATATATAATTCTTTAGTCTCTTACTCATCATCATCATCCAGATGTAGCAACATGTGCTCTGACATTAATGTCTCTTCGGAAAAAAAACAATGAACGAGATATCCATCAATTACTTGAAATTGATTATGATGAGGTTTGTATACATATAACTAAAGAGATTTCTATTTCTCAGAAAAAAAAAAAACCTGGATTTATGTATGAAAATATTGAGTAGATACGATTTCACAATAATTTTACTTCAATGTAATAGAAATTAGTTTTGTTTTACAAATCAGAGACGGAATTGAATCGAATTTTACTGGTTCGGTTCGTTTTCGGTTTCTGATGCATATGCTTCATTTCCTCTTGTATAGTAGAAAAACTTTAATTTTCTTTCAACGATCAAATAGATGTCTTAATATTATATCTAAATAAATTTTACGATAATCTCGAGCTATTACTCTTTTTTTGTTTCTAGATGTTCGAACATGATTTAAATCGACCAATTCGATCCGACAAGAAAAAAGATAAAACAAAAAATTCTGAATGTCCAATCAATTTCAATATGACTGTTAGTTTGTTTGATTGATAATAATGTGTTTTTCTTTTCTTTTATTTGAAAAAGAATAAAAACAAAGCATTCTTCAAAGCACCATTTATTGCACGGGAAAAAACATTAGCAAGAATCATATTGAGATAGGATATTAGTTAAGATCTGACAGTTAAAAAGAAGCAAAGCAAATTTTCATTTTTAAATTTAAGGTTTAGCTCGTCGATGAACTTGAATAAATTTTGATTTTTTCACAATTTTTTTTTCATTTCCAAATAATTTATAATATTCTAATAAAAGTTCTTTCCAATAAAGTTCAATATTTTCCATAGTTAAATAATTCCAAATAAAATCTCGTCCTTGTCGAGCAATTTTTCCAACTAAACGATCATTATTTTGAGCAAATAATAAAATATTTTTAACATCATTTAAATCAGTTGATATTGGAATATAATGATACCAAGGTTCAAGATTATGATAAAAAAATTCAATCCAATCTGAACCAACATGTATAACAAGTGAACCACATAAAAATAAATGACGTAAACGAAATGATGCAGCAACACCACGAAAATTAAATAAATATTTAAATTGACAAAATGCTTCATGTTTTAATTCATCAGCTGGTGGATAACCTAATGTATCTTGATCAGATTTCCATGCTTGATTTTTTGTATATTGTGCATCAAGTAATTCTGGATGATTACGAGATAATAAAATTAATGGATCACGTTCAGATGATGTTCTTGAACCACGAAAAAATCCACGAGATTCTTTTTTTGACCAAGGAATATCTTGTCGAGCTTTATTTAATGCTTGTCGCATTATATCCCAACGACCAATACCAGTTGGATAAACGCTACCTAATGCTGGTCCACCATCCCAAAATGACCATGCTGGATAAAGAATATCTGTATCATGAGAAAATAATGATTTACTAAATGATAAAATTGGAATGTTAGGTTGATTTTGTGGCCAATCATATGTATTTATTAAAAATTCCATATCAGGTAAAGAATCAATAATATTTAAAAGAAAATGTTCTATACCATAATTACGTGCTGGAAATATTAATTCATCATCTATTTGACGATATAAACGATGATTAATTATTTGATAAAGTGTAAGACGATGAGTTTTAGCAACAGATTCAATTCTATTTAATTGTTTTTGAATTTCATCTTTTGGTTGTTTTTTCCAATAAGAAAAATCTAGATTAATTTGATGATGAAATATAGATTCATTATCATCATTTGTTTGATTTATATGATTTTCTTTAGCTTTTTCAATTAATTTAATATATTTATCCCATTTAGATGTCGTAGAATATAGATCATTTTCTTCACGAAAATATTTTGTTTTTTCATGACTTGTGTCGTCTGACTCATATTTAAGTGAAGAGTCTATTTTAGGAAATAATAATAATAGGTAGACGATAATAATAATAAGATGTAGGTGTAAGAGAGCCATTCTGAATCATAGATGTTTGAATTAGTCGTTCGTTTACATAGATATATGTATGTACATATTGACAACACAATAATTATTAAAAGTGACATCTATTGAAAAAAATATATATTATTATTTTTTTCTCTTAAGACGAAATTTTCGATAATTAAAAATTTTTTTCCAAGTATAAATAATGTTGAATATAATTTCTTATGATAGTAAAATCTGAATTATTTCGATTGGAAGATAATTTGCTTTTATTGTGATTTTTTTTGTCATTCTCTCTCTTAGTGTTGTTTTCGTGCGTCAATATATATTTATTTGTTTATTTATTTATTTATTTATTTATTTATTTATAAAATTCCGAGATAAAAAAAAACCTAAGTCATTACGAGACCCATCTTGTATATTCACAATCGTATCTCACCTATTTATACAAATAAATTTAGCATTGTTTTAGTTTTATTTTCTTTCAAGGTTTATTTTATTTTCTTTTATTTTATTTTTTTATCTTTTTATTATCAAAATTAAAAGAAAAAGAAAACGATTATATTTATTTTAGTTACATTTTTTTTTTATAAATTCCTCAAAAAATCAATTATCAATGCAAGGAGACGAGGTAGAATTTGAATTTACACCAAGTTTATTAGAGACTCCATCATTAATGACTCCAAATATTGTTTTAAATGCACCATCAATAAAATCAGTATTCCAAATGACGCGTACAAATATTTCTATTCCAAGTGATATTATATCAACATCTAATCCATCATTAATAATAACAACAACAACTAGGGAGACCCAACCATCTATATTTTCAGCTGATGTCAAAGTATCAAAAATTGAAGATGAACTTAAACAAAGTGTAGCTGAATCACGTAGACCAACACCATCACCATTTCAAAACATATCTTCAAATAATGTTTTTATTTTGGATAAAACTCCTGTTATTACTAATGACGACGGAACAACAATTGAAATACCATCAACAGCCGATGTAAGAAATATATATATATATATATATATATATAATGATTAATCATTTACATTGGTATTTTTCAAATGATGATTCATTTTCATTTATATTTAGGTTGTTAAAGAATTAGAAGCACTTACAAATGTAAATCCATTACAATTTCAAGAAAAAGTATTAATCAATGATAATCATGAACGTGATACAACAACCACAACAATGAACGGTGATAATATTCATTATGATTCACCTCCAACATTAAGTATGGGTATTGTATCACCGAAAAAAAAATTTCTTATACGTAGTCAATCCCATACAGAACCAATGTCACCTATACAAAATAATAATAATAATAATTTGTCTCAATCTCAAAAATCCAATAATGATAATAGTATTTTAAATACACAAAGTAGTCTTGATGATGAGAATTCAATAGATGACCCTATTAATAATCAATTTACACGAACAACAGGTTTATCAACAATAACACATCCTAGTGATACAAATATTGATAATAATCAACAATTTAAATCTATTATTGATAATGGATTTGAACATCATCTAAATATACAATTAAAGACTGAACAAAATATAATACCTCATCCAATAATTAAACAACAACAACCAATTGTACTTAATTCTATTAATAATAGTCATAAACGAACGTTTCAGTCGACTAATATTGGTAAGTATATATTCAGAATTACGATAGATAATGCTTTTGACTCCATATTTTGTTCATATGTAGAAAATCTATAGATTACAAAAATCATAAGAGGATATAGATGCATGTTACGATTAAGCCATGCAATGGAAATTTTATTGAAATTTCCCTGTTGGACCCTCATTTTCTAGCACAATTAAATTTTAGAATTATTGAATGTAGCGCATTACTGAGATATGAATATCTTAGAAAAATTCATATCTCAGCGATTGCTACTTTTAAAGATTCTAAAATTTTTTCTACAAGCTAATCTAATTTAGGCCTTGATACAGACAAAGTTCTAGATTAAAATTGGAAAATATGATTTTGTTAGACACCTAGGATCCTACAGGGAAATTTCGGTAGAAATTTCATCATTCAATCAAATCGTAACATGAGCCCATATTTTCTTAAGATTTTTCTAGTCTACAGATCTTCTACTAATGAGTAAAATATGGAGTGAATCACTTCGAATGATTCCCTCATTAGACAGATAAGCAAGGCATTTACTAAATATTATCTTAATTTTTAAATGTCTAATTAGATCTCAGTCTATTTCAACTGAATTCTATCTGAATATGATATTATATGAAAATTTACCTTTTTTTAAATTTACTTTACAAGCATTTATTTGAACATGCTGATAACATTAGCCGATCCAATCCAATGATTGAATAGGTCAAAGGATATATCAAATGTTTGTTATACAGATAAATTCTAGAAAATTTAATTTTTATGTAATCGACTTATAATATTAAATTGATTTTAATTCATTTAAAAATACATTGATTAGTCTTCTATGCGTGTCAATGGCTTTTCTATTGCTCTTCTTGACCTTGAGTCTTCATAGTGTTAGTATAACATGATACTAATTCCATACTTTGTTAAGTTGAGACTAGAGATGTGTGGAACTTTGAGAAAGAATTTTCTGTAATCAGAATTCAAGTTTATAGTAAAATATTCAATGGTTTTAAGCAAATTATCTTACAAATCCTATGAATCACAAAATAATTCAAGAGAGATGACTCGAAAAAAGTGCTAGCCATCGACTAAATAAATAAGAAGAAAAAAACCGAGTATTGAAGAATTATTTTAGATGTGGTACGAATAAATTCTGGCATAGTTTTTTCTAGACCGCGACTGGAATCGATTAAATTGAACTAATTGTTCTTCATCGACTTTTATTGATTGAAAGGAATTTTCTAAGTTTGTCATTTTTCTCTGGTTAAAAAATGTTGAGAACATATTTTAGAGAATCCTTATTTGGATATTGAAATCAAAATTTTTTCGACTTTTACTTTTTCATTACTAATATAGCTTGAAAGTGCCCACTGGCAAATGCTACATAAATGAGGGTTCTTCGTTATTAGTTAGCACTTTTATTAGACCTAAGTTTTGAAATCCCTAGCAGAAAAACTCACGCTACGATTATTCTTTGTATGCAAAATTCTCCTAATGATAATTTCTAACGGTATTGAGAGCATGGGTGATGAACCTCTAACATGGCCAGTTTTTGCTCATTTTAGTTGGTGAAAAAAACTTTCCGGATAGATACAGGAAAGTTTATTTTGTTTTTCTCTCAAAATCAATTTTTGAACAAAAATAACGAAGTTTCCTCTAACATGGAACGTTCGATCGGGCTTAAACTTTTTTCTATGAGCACTTTGAACAAATTAGGGTGCGTATTTTTTGTTTCCTCAAAATGTTATTCCTACGACATCCGGCGACGTTTAAAAAGTTAGTGCCATTGAAAAAACACGTTTTTCATTTGACGGTGCTTCCAGTATTTTGCTTCTCCTGATCTGTAGGAACGATATTTTTGAGAGAAAAACAGAACACCTACCCCAATTTGATCCTAGTTGTCAAAAAAGAATTCAGGTCGAAAAAATGAAGTATAGAGTTTCGCGAGTAGGTATGCAACAGCTCTCACTTCAATGAACCGATTCTTTTTCGAGAACTAGGTCTAGTGAACAGTTCTTTTTTGTGAACTGTGTCCAGGGAACAGTTCTTTTCCAAGGACTGTGTGAAAGGACGACTTCTCTTTTTAGAACTGGGTCTAGTAACTAGTTCGTTTTTTGAGAATTGAGTCCTTTTATTCTAGCATTAAGTTTCCATTAGTTTCATTTCAGCACATTGGTGTAGCTCACAAGCATGACCTAAAATGAAGCAATTATAAATCTAATGGAAAGGTTAAAATGAAATGTTTAGTGGCACTAGTTTATTCAAAAATAACTGCCATATAGATCAGCTCCTATCAAAAGAACTATTGGGACAATTCGCAAGATCGGAAGTAATATGGAACTGTTGTAGACCTATTTGCGAGAGGAACCTTTTCGACTTTTACGACCATGATATCTCCCTGAATTGCGGAGATTTCAAGCATTTGTGTTCTGAATTTTACGTTACTTCATAAAAATAATGTAATTTCCAAAATTTTCGCAATTATGTACTTACAAAAATTTCTGAAATTACAGAAATTTTCAATATATCTAAAGACTTTTGATTTGCACTGCTATATAGTTATTGAGCTGATGGAAATTTCAGACATTTCTGTAATTTCCTTTTTTGCAAATCTGAACATACCTTGAATTTGGAGCCAATGACAACTTTTGCTCTACTAATCGAGATCTATCTACTTTGAAAGTTTCATCATTTCTCGTCGAGCGATTCCTGGGAAACTTCGAGCGCGGAAGATTTCTTAAGTGCTCTTATAAATATAATCAAAGTATATTTCAATTTATAAAAAACACAATCAAAGGTGTGTTAGATTTCTCACCTCATTTCGTGAATATTTTTTTTCTCGTTAGCGGGAATATTTAAGTTTTTGAACTCTTGTTCACGAGGAAACATGAAGTTTTTCAGTAAAATTAGAGCTTAGCAATCAATTGTCGAGCAAATTACTTTTTTTTTGGTTTAGTAGAACATCGTCTGTTCATCTTTGAAAAAATCTTACTCATATAAACAATTGTAGCATAGTATTTTCTCTTGTAGAGATATGGAAACCTGAGGAAGAAAAAATGATTTTTGAAGGTATTTCTTATAATCGATTTAAAATTATTTAATTGACAGACCAATTTTTATCGGTCTGAAATAATTTTTGGAACCCGATTGGATCGAAAATTTTCGATCGGTTGAATTCTGAATCAATGTCTAAAAGAATCTTCAATAGATAATAAATGTCTAAGCCATAGATATACATTCAATGATAAATTATTTCTATTGTTTGATTTGATTATTCTTAATGATTAGGTAATAATATTCCACCATTAACAAAAACAAATACAGTTATCATGCCGCAACCATCATTAAATGAGGTGACATCAACTGATCAATTATCAACTGCAAAACGACAACGAACAACTCCAATACCAATAAATACAACAGTTATGAATTTTCGTTCATCTTTTCCATCATCAGCAGCAGTAGCAGCACCAGGGACAAATACATTAACTACAACCACGACAACGAATGGTACTAATGGAAATGTTGGATCTGAAGATCAACGTAAGAAGCAAATTCGTGATAGTAATCGTGAAGCAGCACGACGTTGTCGAGAACGTCGTCGACAATATATTGAACAACTTGAAGGAACTTTAGAACAACATAAAACACAAATAAAACAATTAAGTGAAAAATTAGCTCGTGTAGAACGTGAAAATACACAATTACGAGCTATACTTTCAGAAACAAAACTTCTTCATCAAGCACCACGTATGTCAGCGAATGAAGGACATGTTGATTATACTAATGTTGTCACAGCAACTGGAATGAATATAAATTCCGAATCAAATCATCAAATTGATGGAAGAACAATACAAAGAAGTTATATTGATAGAAATAATCTTTAGTCTTCCATTATTATTTTTGAACAGTATGTATAAGTATGAGATGATGTTTGCTTTGAAAAAAAAAGACAAAACAACGTTAAAGGAAATTCACAAAGTGTTTAGCCGGTTGTATTTTTTCGTTGCTCGTTTTCTCTACATGTACATTTTCTTTCCGCAAAAAAATTATTTTCTTTCTTGCAGTGACTATTATTTTTTTTCGTTTTTTTTTTGTTTGTTTTTCTTTTTTTTTCTATAGTGCTATACTGTAATTGTACATAAACATATTAAAATAATTCTTTTTACTAACTTTTCCCTCTATTTTATGTATGGAGCCAAATCAAATATTTTTCTCTGATTTCTTTTTTTTTATCCTGATAGATCTAAATATGTATGGTTTGAGCATAGGCATATATGCGATGATAATTTTTATTTATCTTTTATGCTCTTGTTTGTTGACTGTCTATTCGTCTTTATACTTATGCACTCATTTTGCCACCAATATGCCCATATATATTATATGTCTGTTTCTTTTCTTTCTTGATCTTGGTTGAAATACATTGTTTTGTGTATGAATAATAAATTGAAGGAGAAAAAAAATATAATTTTATTTTTTAGATTAATATGAAATTTCGTATTCTTATTTATTTAACACTAAATATTTTATCATTAGATCCTAATGATAGAACGTTTCTTTGTTTGAATATTTTTACTTAATATTTATTCAAATAAAAATTGTTTAATAAATAATAATAATAATACAATTACAAAAAAATTTACTGGTCTAGTTAATTTTTCACCAAAATTTAATCATGAAAATAATAGTTATTCCGTACGTATTTCTAAATATGTAAAGCAGGTTTGATATGTTTATTTTTCGAATAATAAAGTATCAAGTTAGTGTAACAGTCGAATGTCTACTGAATAGTACTTTACCTAAAATAGGTAATTAGTATGAACTGTATCTTTATAGTAGAATATCTGTTTTATATAGACAACACTATTACCCGTGGAAAATGAATGTCATATGAGTTATACTGAAATAACAATGTCAGTAATCTGATAAGATTAACGTTTAAACAAAATATTAATATTTAACGTCAAAACAGTCAACAAATTTATAAGTTGTCGCATTAGCAATGAGTAAATTATGAATATTTGTTCTTTTGGAATTCGAAATATATTAAGAACCATGTACGGATAGAGATATACTATTTCAATGTCCACGAGATTATCCTCATTTATTTATTCAGAGGTTGCACGAGAATGCAAAGATTCTGAGGAAGAGGTGTATTAGGGAAAGTCTTACAGGGGCAGTCAAAATTTAAAAAAATAATCTTCCTATTTTTACTAGACAATAACGAATAATTTACAATTATAGGACGGATGTACACACCTTTTACTAATAGTCAACGTTCTTATCGTTATTTTTTCCAGATTATTGACTTACTGATAAGATCGATGTAGACCAAATCTCTGTTTGTCTGTTCCTTGTGATTCAAGTATAGGCACTTTATAGATCAATATGATTATCTTATGTCACTTGTGTTTTATATTTACTACAAACTTTCAGTAAAATACGCGGAAAAAGTAAAAGATAGGTACAAATAGAAAATACATCCCATTTCATCTTACATGCAAAAAGAAAAGATAAAGAATATTAAAAATGATGAATGAAAAGAACGAAAAAAAATCCATTATACAGCCAGACTATAAATCTAACAAGTACATTATTAAGAGAAAAAGAGAAACAAATAATCGAAGCAATCTATCTATATTAAAAATACATAGCTTTTATAGATCGTTGTCTTCATCTCTACGTCATCTAGAACTGATAAATATTCAATTATTGTCGAAGTTCTTCGTCTTAATAGAATTGTTATTGATTAACTGGATAACTGTTGTTCAATAAATTGAACATGATTATAAGCGTTCATAGACATAATAAAGTACATTGTAGAAAAAAAACTTAAATTGAACACAATAAATATTAACTATCGTCGTGTAGAAATAGATAACTAACGTTTAAACGTTCGTATTTGAGCTATTTCAGGCAAAACGGGATATGCTCACCTTTAATTTGACTTCGATTCTTTACAAAGATTATTTTTCTAAATAACTTCTTTTAGCATAGACATATGTAAAAATGTTGGCCCTTTCAGCTAGTTATTAATTAAAAGAAAAGTAACTAGCGAATATTTCTCTAATCATATGAGAAGAAAAAAATCTGGGAACTTCAGAATAAACTTTACGGTACGAATTGTATCTATGGAGGAATTTTTAGCAAGAGCAGACTCTAAAATAAACTTTCTCCTAAAACTCAGTTTTCTCGAAGTCCCATCAAGTTCCGAAATAAAACTTTTCGTCCTACCATCATCTAGATATTCTGAAAAAAGATTTGTACTGTTTGGAATTGGTTTTGAACTTCTCAATCGGTTATAAGAGCAGTTTTTCGTACTTCGCCATGTCACTTACGAAGAGTAAATTGATTTTCGTTTGAAAAATCTAAGCATGCTCAGAAAAAGAACTTTAGATAGAGATTTTATAGCCTCAGAAGTTGTCTATATTTAGTTTTCAAAAATGTTGCCGCAATTTAGAATTGTTTTGAAAGTAAAATACATGAAGTGAAAGTCGATGTACTTTTAAACATTAGATTTTTCCTGATAATTCCTCTACACAAAGGTGTCTAGCATTAATTTTTTCAGCGTATCTAGAGTAACTTAACATACGAGTAACATTTAAAAATTAGGTTTTGTAAAGTTCATCATCCCGAGACACATATATTTTAATTTTGCGAAGTCAGGTTACTAACGAGTGATTTTGGTTGTATATCCTCCTGAAAAAAATAGTGTCACTTGATATTTTCTATATATCATCACTATAAATTAACATTTTGTAAAAAGTAATTATATATTCGGATAGCCCCTGGAATTCTCTAGAACTCTATACATGTAAGTTTTGAACTATGTTTGTTCGCTAAAACTTAATTGAAGAATAGTAAAGACACCCTCGTCGTTAGATTTCCCAGAAATGCATTTATTTTTCTTTTTCATCGATTTTTTAAATTTATTTTTCATATAGAAACAAGTTATTATAAAACTCAGTATATAATCTGAAAGTTCACGAAAGTCTTTATTACTTTATACTTTCCCAGTCATTATTAGCTATTATTTGATTACAAATATTCGGTATATTATTTATATACACACGTACGACGTCTTCAGGAATCGCATTCCATGCCTGCTCAACTAACTGTTCTAAACGTTGTTGAGACGGAGTGTCATCTTGAATGAATTGACACACACAAAGAAATAATCGAAACTCTCAAGAACGTTTAGAACAGTTAGTTGAGCAAGCATGAAATATGATTCCTGAAGACGTCATACGTGTGTATATAAATAATATACCAAATATTTTTAACCAAATCATAGCTAATAATGGCTGGAAGAGTACAGAATTATAAAGACCTTCGTACACTTTAAGATTCTATACTTAGTTTTGTAATAACTTGCTTCTATGTTAAAAATAAATTTAAAAAAATCGATGAAAAAGAAAAAAAAATGCATTTTCGGGGATTCTGACGATGAGGATGCCCAGGCGTGCAGAATCTGCCGGTAAAATAAAAAATTTTCCCACTTTAAAATTCAATTAAAAAACGAGTTTTCTTGTTGAAGATGTTTATTCACAAAAAAAAACATCTACCACTATTTAACACATCGCGAATGCGCATTTGAAAAATGCTACTATTTAATATCGTTTGATTCAGGTAATCTGATTATTTGTACTCTTCGTAAACGATTTAAACTAACTGAAACAGGCGAAACAAGTTTTCAAAGTTGGTATTGTTCACTTTTTTATATGAAATAATCATCGTCTATCTTTCATTCGGCTAAAATAATTATTGAGTGAATTTGCAATAAGTATTAATTTACACCGATATCAACTCCAAAATGACACGCTAATCATCTCAGAGTCAAATTTCTACCTATCGTACCCTCCTGATTCGATGAAACTAAGACTACTAGAATAGAACCACACTCGAACCACTTTTCAAAAATGAAGTCAAACTGAGCCAAACCCGAAATAATTTTTCAAAAGTAAATCCGAATTGAACTGAACTCCAACCAAAAACAAAGGTTCAGTTCAGTTGCTGATGACCATATATTAGTCATCCTAGTGGTTATGTACGCATACCCACATATACATAATAGCAACTGTTATGCAGCAACAGAGAAAAAAAAACAGCAAATAGTGGCATTCTATTAGGCAGAATTATAGAAAGAAAAGAAGAGAAGAGAACACAAACAGTGTGTATTGTATCAAGAATAGGCGCGAAGCGACAGAGTGAAAGAAATGACAACATGCATGATGAACATAAACAAAGGTAGACGATATTGACAGTACGACAGGGATACGGATGAATCTTTTAGAAGTTTATTCAAAAGAAAAATAAAAGGTCTTATCGATGTATACATGAATAAACTGGGACTCATTGGAAAATTTCTCCCATGAGAGAAAATACTTATCAAAAAATTTCCTCAGATACTATTAAATTTTCAAAAATTTACCCGAACGATCGTTCGCGTACTCGAGTAGATTCTGTACGCCTGAGAGTACCTTTACTGTTTTTCAATTATGTTTTAGCGAATAAATGTAATTCGAAACTGACATATATAGAGTTGTAGAAAATTTCACAAGCTATTCGAATACATAATTACTTTTTTCACAATGTTAGTTTATAGTGATGATACATGAAAAATATTGAGTGACACTATTTCTTTTTCGGGGTGGATATCAGGGTATCCCAAAATGATAGGACCTTCTATTGATGTTGTCGAAAAATATTTCTGGAATTTTAAAGAGTTCATGTCAGTTATTTCTTAAAACTGAAAACATTTTTTTTTTGACAACATCTGTAGGGAGTTCCATAATTTTGGAATATCCTGTATATATAATATTGTTTTATTTAAATACTGAAATATATGACGTCTTTAGTCTTAACAATTCAATAATGAAAACTTCTCCTAATATATTTAAAATTTCCAAGTCTATCTGGTAATTTAATGGTTTCGATTTCACGTAATATTTTGAGAATCGGGTTGGGACTATTTTTTTCTCATTTCTAGTAACAGGAACCAATTTCTTTTTCATTTTTAGTAATCGGAAATGGACTCGGAATCGGAGTTCCGCTTCCGGATAATTCTTAAGAACGCCAAACTGTTGTGTACATAAACATCACGCGCTACTTGTCTTGAGAGTCAGATAAGAATCTTGTCTGAATTTTAAGGAAACTTAAATATCTTCTATATTCTTTCCATTTTCTTATTTTCTTTTTGTATCAATACGGCAAGATTCTTTTCATTTTGAACTTCGAGCAAGAATTGGTTTTTTCTTTCTTGTTGAAAAGCACCTTGTCTGAACTTCAATATGAAAAAGATTCTTCGATGATCAATCAAGAAAAACAAGAAATTGGAAAGAATGGATGACAAGAACATCCACTACTGTCGACTTGTGTAGTTTTTAAAAATCAAATGTTGTTATTCTTATTGCTTGTATTTAATTAAAAGCTTTAATTTGTTATTGTTGCCTTACTGCATAGAATGCGATCATTCTCATTGTTTTCATGCTGCGCAAAAGAAAATTCAATTGAAAGTAAATTTAATTTTTTTTCTTATAGAATTTAATTAAAGAGTTTGAATTTTAAGAAGGTCACATAGCTGTTGCTACGGATGAAAATGCTAGCTGTAAGAAATATCCTACTGCTTTATGTGTAATTGAAGTTTTAACTCAGTGATATAATGAATCAACACCATTGATTATTGATTTTATGAAATCTGTTTATCATCATCTTGAATGAAGCCAGATATGTAATCGATCCCAAACGAGGAAAAAAAGGTCTTCGCTTGTCATTTTGATGTAATCTAGCTGTTTTTTTTTTGTCCTATATGTGCATTTCTTCAAAATAAAATATAAAAACTGTATGTTAACTAATAAAAAACAAAGCAACGTTTTATAAATAAAATTAATGTTTATATATTAAAATATTCAATCAATCAATAAATTTTCTTATTCTTTTTTAGATGATCTTAATAATTCATTTTTTTTTAATATTGTGCTTATCTTCTACCTTAGCTAAAATGACTTATTGTAAGAATACTTTGGTTCTTTTTTTAAACTATTACAATAAAATTTTTTACATTATTTATTTTAGTTAATCTTGAAAATATCTATGGACCATATTGTAATCCAGGGAATACATATACACCAGATGCAGGTCTTGTCCGATATGCTGGGTTTGTTTTAGAAAAAAAAAATCTTCATTGAATTAGTACTTTCGTTTATATTTATTTAGAACTCCATGGACCGGTAAATGTGAATTAAATTTACAAAGTTGTTGCTTTCCAAATCCACGTAATTTATCTCAAATGAGTAATATATTAGTTTCAACAAAATTTTATATTCGCTTACTTAAACCACCATTATGTTTATCAGAAAATGTTACTATTCAATCTGAATCCGGTGAAAAGGTAATTAAATAATAGAATACTCAATGATAAAAGAGCAGACATTAATATTTTGAAAAATTGATGTAGGACGTCGAAAATTCTGAAAAATCAAATATCTATTCTTGTGTCATGATTGAATTACTTGAGCGTTAGTGGCGGTTATATCTTAAAAATTTTGCAGCCCATTAGTTTGATACCTCTATATTCAATTATAATTAATAATGATTTTTCTTTTTTTGTTTCGTTTAAGATTATAATTGATTGTAATGTAACAGAAGGTAGTGAATATTATTTAGATACTGAAAAATTAACAATAACTTTTGATCGAAGAGAAAAATTTCCTATATCAAAATTTGCAATGATAGTTACACCATTAAAAATAAAAACACGTAAGTTTACAAATAAAATTTGATTAAAAAATAATATATATATATATATATATATTAATAACTTGTAGGAATGTTTACATTATGCGGTTTTGATTGTTTTACGGATACGTATTGTATTGATCGAAGTCTTATTTGTGATCGATATCAAAATTGTCCGAATAATGTTGATGAAGCTCAATGTGATTACCGTTAGTTTTCTTGATTTATTTTATTCTATTATATTTTGTTTGAATTATATGATTTAATAGATCATACTCAACCGTCATTATCACTTCAAGCCAAAATAATTCTCTTAGTTGTTCTATTAACGATCATATCATTTGATATTTTTTCTATATTGTTTTGCTATTTTTGTTGTGGAATTTCAAATCAACATGATCTTGATATCAAAGAAGGAAAGCGAAGTACGAAATCTTCTATATTTTGATTAGAGAAAAAAAACTAAAAAGAAATATTATTTTTATTTATTTTTATTTAGGTCCTACAATATTAGAAGAAGGTGCTGCTGCAACTCCATTATTGCAATCAACAATCTCTAACGACACTAATAAATCTCATTGAATAAATAAATAAACGTCTAACATTTAGTTTTTGTAGTTCCTAAGCCAGTTATTGTTTTATTTTTCTAGTCATTTGTTGACCTTTTTTATGTAATAATCCGACATTTATTTTTTATCGTTCAGATAAAATAGATTTTACACCTCAGTTTATTATTATTTTTTTCAATATTTTTACTCATCTTATTATTTGTTTATATATATATCTGTGAATTGAATGCATTGAAGAGACATAGATTATATAAAAACAATTTTGTCCAACTTATTCGTCCTAATTGGTTTACAAAATGTCGTCATTACGATAATAAGATGAATAAAAAAAAAGAAAAAAAAAAGAATGTTTTTATTCTATTTTTATTTTATATGTATTGCTTTAATTGAAGAAGTTTTTCAATAAATTATCGAATAAATAATGGTTCAGTATCACTATCAAATCTCATTATTGGATATCTATTTGAATCGATAAGAAATTTTTCAAAATTTCATCGGAATGATGTGGTTTATAAAAAATTCTTGTATGATCTTCAAAAAATTTATTTGTTGATGGTATACAATATTTTAAATATTCATATAATGGATGTTTTAATTTTTACCATTAATATCAATTATCCAAAATAAAGGAAATTTTGGAATAAAATTTTTTCCTAATCGAATATATTTTAAAGCATTTAATAATTCATCCTTTGTTTCAGCTAGTTCTTGATAACCAAATTGATTACATGATATATCAAGAATAGTAAATTGATTTGTTTTAGAAAATTCTTCTTGTAATGCATTCAATTGTATATATTGTGATGTAATACGTCAATATGTAGCTACATTAACAATTAAACATAATTGATTTTTATATTTTAATAATGATTGTTTTTGTAAATCAAGATCTTCAAGTTCAAAATCATAAATAGTACATGTATGTTCACATGTACGACAACATGTAAATGGTACACGATTATTTTTATCTTTGACTTTCAAAGAAAAAAATTGAATTTAACTGAGTTAAAAAAAACAAGACTTTTTTTTGTTTTTGTTTACAATATTTCATATCAAGTCCAACTGTTGAATAATTTTTTAAGTAGGTTAGTAATAAAATCTGGTTGGTGTTGTAGATTTTTCTTGCGATCGTTATTATCATTTGAGTCTCGATCCTTGACCGTAGTGGTAGGTAGCGACGACATTTATTTTTCTTCTTTCTTTTCTTATGTAAAGCGAAGAAAGAAAAAAACAGAATGAAAACAAGTTTACGTAGAAAATAAAAGAGGCCCGTAGCAACAAAATGACTATTTATTTGCTTTTTTTAGATAATAATGTCTTATCCACCATTTGAATTAGGCAAAAGCCGTTATGATCTCGTAAGCTTAATTTTAGTCAATTTTTAATCGAATTAAATCGAATATTTAATTAGAATACTTATTGGGGACGATTTTTACATTTTATGAATATTATTGATCCACGAACATTATTTGTCAGCAATGTAAATCAAATCAATAGTCTTTTACATTAACTTGATTCTATTTTTTTCGTAGTCTAAATTAAATGAATGTCAGCAATTACTTGAACAATATCAATCAAAAACTTTACCACCAGGTATTACTGACAAAGATTTATGGGAAGCACAAAAAGTCGTACAAGTTAGGTTTTATTTTTACAATATATTTTTTTTTAATGTTATTTATATTTTATAAATTTATTAATAGGCTATTCTTCATCCTGATACAGGACATAAAATTTTTATGCCGTTTCGAATGGCAGGTAAGATTTCTTTTAATTAATTTACTTGCATTGAAACCAAAAAAGAAAAGCAATAAAAATATTTCTTAAATTTAACATTACAGAATTGTTTTAAAAAGAAAAAAAAAAAAAGAAAAAGTGAAAATATACTTTAATTTTCTTTTTCTTTTTTTTGAAGCAATATATCAATCACTATTTAAAGTAAGATTTTTATTATGTGAATACCTTTTTCTTTCTCAATACGTATTCTCTCAGCATGGTTTCTATTCTTATCCTATGAAATAGAGACCTTTCACCTATAGTTAACAAATATTTGCCAATCACTTCTAAACAATCTTTTATTTATTTTATTGCTTAATACATTTTATGGCTTTCTTGTTATTAAAGGATATGTACCATTTGGTACACCAATTGTTGTTGGTCTTCTTATGCCAGATCCAACACTCAAACAAATTATTTTTTGGCAATGGCTGAATCAAAGGTATATAAATAGAATTATTTTAAGATACACATATCGCAAAATTGGAGTCAATTTTATTATTCATTGATTTCTATATGGTTTGATAGAGCTTGAACAGTTGTTTACAAATATACACTTTTTATTTCAATTAGGTAATCATTTCATTGCAAAAAGCTCCAATTACTGATAAGATCATAGATATAACCAAAACCATTTTTTTTTCCTCAAAGCAACTCTTAAGTTTCTAGAATCTTTTTGATAATAGTTATTTTTTTAAACTAAGCATCAAAAGCTAAGTAAAAAAAATATTATTTCCTCAGATTTAAAATACATAGTGTAAAAAACCGCTATCAAGATATGTAGGCTTATAATATGCATGTATATATGCTTTTTGCAAACTTATCTAGGGTTTTTTAATGATAGAAGATAAGACCACAAATATCTTATCTCATTTGAATCAGCTGGTTTCGAACTACAAAATTACATACTTAGATTTTTTGCAGATTTTGTTTTATTGTTAAGAAAACCAAACATTTCTTGGTTTTAATCAAAAATGACCTTGTTGATCACAATTTCTGTTATCAACTCTTAATTGTAAACAAAATCAATAGCATATAGAGAATCAGTGTGAAAATCAACACTAGACTACATATATTTTAGTAAAATTACTTTTACATGGAAAACATACTTGTACTTCCACTCAATATTTTTCTTCTAAAATTTTGCCTCCGGTTAATTTTCCATTTGACACAACATTTGCTGAAATGTATGTAATGCAGCATAGATTTTTCTGCTGATTCTGAATATGCTGTTTATTTTGTTTATCAATTGAACTTTGTAAACAAGGTCATTTTTGACGCTTTTACTATTCGAACAGGGAAATGTTCGATTTTCTCGACAATACAACAAAAGATAAAATCTAAATGTGTACTTTTCCCAATTTTCCGCTATGTGTACCTTAAAAGGAAACCAAACAAGACTTCACAACTATGAAGTAATTATCATCATTTAGTCATAATGCTGGTGTCAATTATGCAAATCGAAATGCAACACAACATACACCTGTATCGAAATTTGCTATTGGATATTTAAGTGCAGTTACTGTTTCAGTTTCAATTGCTGTAAGTGATTCATCTATTTTCACATATCTTTATATCTTAATACTGTCAGGTTGGTCTTACTATGGCTATTCGTCGAGCAAAATCACTTCCACCAACACTTAAAACAGTTGTACAACGATTTGTTCCATTACCTGCTGTCGGTAATATTAATTACATATCTTTATATGATAATCACTCGGGCTTTTCTGTTCAATGAGAAAATATAATAAAAGGATAAAAGAAGTGAAAATTTTTGAAAACCACTAACGCATTGTTTTGTGCATATTTAAATTTCATAAATATGCTTATTTATATTTCATTCTAATTATAGCATGTGCAAGTACATGTAACGTTCTTTTTATGCGTTTTCACGAATTGTATGAAGGCATCGAAGTACTTGATGAACAAAATAAACCAATAGGTGTATCAAAATTAGCAGCTAAAAAAGTTATTAACATTTTTTTTTTTGTGTTTTTAGAAATATCATATCGATATAAATATACATTAAGTTTTCTCTTTAGGCTTTAACTGAAATGGCAATGACACGTGCTTTTCTACCAGTACCAATTCTTTTCTTTCCACCTGTTATAATGTTAGCATTCGAAAAGTAAGATTTTTCGTTTTTATTAATATAAATAAAATAAGAAACTAAATTATTAATTAATAGAAATCTACTTCGTCGTTTTCCACGTCTTAGTTTACCATTAAATACACTTGCATGTACACTTTCATTTGGCTTAGCATTACCAATGTCAATAGCATTATTTCCACAAAAATCTAAAGTAAATATTAAATTCTCTTTTGTTCTTTTTTTTTTGTTCTAACAAATTTTTATTTTATTCAATAGGTGGCTACTAATGAACTTGAAAAAGAAATTCAAGCAAAAACACAATTACCTTATGTTTATTTTAACAAAGGACTATAAAAGAAAATTCAGTATTAATCATTTATTACTTAACATCTATTTTAAAATTAATTTTTCTATCAATTTTGCTTAATTTTTTAGAGTTACAAGCTAGAATAATATTTACTCGCTTTTTTTTTAAAGATATTCTTATAATTATTTATTAATTTACTAAAATGGATTATTTCGAGTAGATTTTCTAATATTTGTTTGTTTTTTTTATTTAATAATTTCTATTTTGAGAAAGATCTTTCGTGTGAGAGAATGAAATTGGATGAAAAATTTTCGAAAAGTAGTTATTATCACATAATCGCACGGACAAATTGAGTTTGTTACAAATCAAAAGTAAAATTCGATATTTGTTTATCACTCATACTGATTCAATTCAATTCACTTTCATCTTATAAATCTTTGTGAAATGGGGTGTGGATGTTGGTGAATTCTTGTATAATAATACTTGTTTTTATAGATGTTTTCTCATTCTTTCTAACATGGGACTTAACTATTTACTATTAGTTTGAATTTCTTGTGTTCTACTAAACTAAGAAACCTTTTATTAAAAATTAATTAGCGAATATTAAATTAAAAACTTTATTACCACATTGAAAACGATTTGTTTCTAAGAGAATTGCTGAAAATATTTTTCTATGGGTACAACTTAAAAACAGAGAAATAAAAGTGAATTTTCTAGAAAATGAAATTTAGGAATATAATAAATGCTTTCATAGATATTCAGTCATAAAACTTTTGAAAGTTTATTTATCTATTAGATTCTATGGTCCTATTCATTTTAGTAAAATAAAAATTTTAATTTGACAAATAATTGACAGTGATAAGGTTAAACTACTGAAAAATTTCAAATAGATTTATTGCTAGAACTATGACGTTTTTCAATATTTTGACCTTAGCACTGTCATTCATTTGTCAAATTAAAATTCTTTTTTTTTCTACTCAAACCGATCAAGTTTGATAGTCGAATAAATTTTCGAAGAACTTTTACTTTTCATATCTGACTACTTATTGTACATCATAGTGTGATCTACTGATGGATTACATCGCCGTGCATATGCTAATAAGATATGAGTCTTATGCAGAACAAAATTTCAAATAAAATCAATACCTAAAATTAGATTAAAAAAAAGAATCATTTTTTTTTTGTCAAACTGTGAAGTTGAAAGTACTAATATTTTGGTTTATGTATACTAATACATTTGCGATTATCTAATTGGTAAGCTTGATGACTAATAGAATTCTATGTAGCAAGAAGTTTTCTTCTTGATCTTATCAATATGTTGACAAATTAAATGATAATTATCGAACAAATGAAAACAAAAAAAAATACAACTATAATAAGTCATTTCTGAAATATTCTTTTCTTTTTCAGATTAAAAAAAAATGGCATTCTTCAATTTGACTTTAATGGGTTATGATAATAAATTTAAATCTATGAAACGTCTTGAACCATTAAATACAGAAAATGATTCAAATCAATTAAGACAAATTCCAGTAATAGGTCAAAGTAAAAGTGCACTTGAAAAACAATTAGCTCGAGAATTAGCTGGAGATTTACAATCACGCGAATGGACATCACCTGCTGTATCGAATTTGTAAGAATATAATTTAGTTAATAAAAATAGAAAAATCACATTTTGAAATAATTAGAAATTATCATACTCTACGTCAAATGCATGTACATGGTAATCAAAATCCAAATCAAATTATGAGACGTCCAATGACAGCTGCTCAAGAAAGTAAATGATTGAGATTTCTTTTTTTTGTAGAGAATATGTATTTACATTATATGATTAGTTGGCTGGTGGACGAAAGATGAACCATTAAAAATAAAAGAACCATGGACACAAGAAAAACGTCATGTTCATGCACAATCTGAAATGACTAAGTAAGATATTTGAAAATTTTCTTCTAGTTTGTTTACTATTATTTTTATATTTTAGATTTGTCGATGATATGGTCCTGACAGATCGATATTTTCGCCTTTTTTAATTTTGTTTTTATAATGAATGAATGACTTTTTTTTTTTTCGAATCCGTCCATTTATAATAATGGGTGACCTATAACGAATGAACTTCTTAGTATTTTACATATCTCTCAGTAAAACATGACTAATGAAATCTTCAGAAGAATCAAAGACAGACCCTAACTATTTGAGTAAACGACTATTATTGTTAATTAATAAGATAGAAATCAGCTCGATTCCTTTGAGATTTTTTGTATATGGTCAACTCTGACATTCTTTCACTTTTGATTATTCATAAAGGAATATTGATTATTTTCTGTATCTAGAAGAAATACTTCTATAGTTTGCTTTTTTTTTTAAAAACTCAACGTTCTCTTCTATGAGAACAAAAGCAGAAATTAAGACTTCATTAAAGCTAGTTTTGAATCGATAATTAATTGAAATCTCGTATGATTAAGAGTTAAAGCTGACAAAATCACTCACAAAGTTCATATGCAAACAATTCGATAAAAAAAAAAGAATTCTGAATCTCTATTCGTTTCCTTGGATGTAAACAAATAAGTTATGTCGTTCAATATAAGCGGAAGATGCAAGTTTCTAGAGAATCAAACGAGGAATATATCACAAAAAAAAAATTGTCGCGTTATATTGAAAGACTGCTGAGAAATGTACAAAATACTAAGAGATCTATTTTTTTATAGGTTACCCGTTAATAATAATTCATTTAGTCTTTTTCTTTTTCTTTTTTTTATTCTTAATAAATATTTTTTTTTAGAACATTATTTAATAAACAATTTCTCAGATTAATTCCTTTCTTTTTTTAAGTTAAATATGAAAATAATAATATTTGGTGCAAATGGTGGCGTTGGTTTCGAATGTGTTCGTCAAGCTATTGAAGATCAAAATATTGAACATATAACAGCTATTACACGACGTCCTCTCGACAAAAATATGATCTCCAATAAACTTACTAATATTATTCATGAAAATTTTCTTGATTATAATCCATTATTAAATCTATTTGAAAATCATCAAGCATGTATATGGGCATTAGGCGTATCACAAAATGCTGTTAATGAAAGTGAATATATAAAAATTACATATGATTATACATTAGCAGCTGCTAAAACTATGTCACAAGTTAATCCAAATATGAGATTTATATTTGTTAGTGGTAGGGGTGCTGATTCAACTGAACAAAGTCGATTTTTATTTGGTCGTATTAAAGGTAAAACTGAAAATGCTCTAATTAAAGAAAGTGGTCTCAAAGAAATTTATACTGTACGTCCGGCTGCTATTTTATTTACACAAGACACCTCAAATAAACCTTGGTATGTACGAGCTTTTCTACCTGCATTACATATTTGCAAAGTAGTCAAACCATCATGGGTTATAACATCAACTGAATTAGCTCATGCAATATTATATTTAGTTAAAAATGGTCATCATGCAACATTATTTGAAAATCAAGATTTAAAAAATATTATTAATGAAAATCATCGTGTCGCATAATAGAGTTTATTTATTATTGTATTTTATTTTTGCTTATTGTTTTTCTCTTCTTGTATAAAAAAAAAAAGAAAACACAGAGTATTATATATATTTATTCTATGTAACAGTAGAGCATTGTAAAACACATTTGTTGTATTAAATTAGGGACATAAATGTTTATGTATATATATATATATATAAAGAAAGAAAAAAAAAAAAGAATTCAATTGACAGAAATATAGAGAAGAAAACTAACCAAACAAAAAAGAAAAACAGAATTCCACTGTTCGACAAAAAAGAATAAAGTTAAAGAATATGGACGAAATTAAGAGAAAGAAAAAAAAAACAAAAAGAAATGCAGATTAATCAAAAAAAAAAAGAAAAAAAAATCAATTAATTATTTTTATTAATTGTACAAGAATTAATTCGTCTGTTAACAACTGTGAATAAAGAATAAATAAGTCAACAAAGCTTTACGCTGAAAATAGATATACAAGCTCTGCATAACATACACACACGCACATATATTTCTTCTTTCTTTTTTTTTTTTTTTTTGTTAACAATTTTTTGTTAACAATTTATTTAAGTTTTGTAGGATTGCTTGAAAGGTTCATTGGAAGTGCTAAAATAAACAATATTATTTTTGTTTTTCTATTACGTTATGATTTTCATACATGTATTTGAAAACATCGATTGCGTGTTCTTATTCATCATCATCGATGATGAAGGACCACTATTTGTTGGACTAATTAATTGATTGAGTGGTAAAGAAGTTTTTTGAGCATCACCACGAGTATGTGGTATGAGATTATTTAATGATATATCAATTTTTCCCTGTGCTGATGACCAAGTATTCTGAAAAACAAAAAAAAAACAAAGATATTTGTACACACACACACAAAAAAAAAGAAAGATTTTTCTCGATCATGAAAATCTAAATAGATTATAAGACAAAAGAAAATCATATCATTAGTTAATTCACTCCCGATAATAAGCAGCAAAATGTTATAACAGCAAAATAATACCTGTTTCTCTACAACTGTTGGTTGCTCTTGTGTAGCAACTTGAGGGGATACATTGGGAAATACAGCCTATAAAAAATGGCTATTTTCTTATTTTCTGATCGATAATTATTCTTTCTATTCATTTAATTTCTTATTAGTTTTAAACTTACATTAAATGAATTATTATTTGGCTTATTAAATTGTTGTTGAGTTGATGAAAACATCATTGGTTGTTGAAACATTTGTGGACGTACAAATGATTGTTGTTGTTGTTGTTGTTGTTGTTGTTGAGTAGGAAAAAACATTGATGATTGTTGAGTTGTTGGAGAAGGTGTTTGAAATAAATTTAAATCATTTGATAAAGTTTTATTTGCTGTTGTTGGTGATGGCGAATTCATTGGTTGTAAAAGATCATTTGATGTTGATGTTGTTCCTGATAATGTTTCGAATGGATCAAATATTGTTGCTGATGGTGGTGGTATAACTGAAGCAGTTGTTGTTGTTGTTGTTGTTGGCCAAATAGAAGGTTGTGTTCTAAATAATGATTTAATTTTTATAAGATCAAAATTAACAAACAGAAGATTTACGTGGAAATTGGTGATGTTATCTGTTGAGGTGGAATGATTGATGCTTCTTGAAATTGACCAAAATCATCTTCAATGGGTGATGAAACACCTGAAGCTTGTACATACGGTGTAAAACCATCATCATCACCTAATAAATCAGCAATAGGAGGTTGAGGTGTTGTTTGAGTTGGAAGAGGTGGAACCATTTGTGGTTTTTTAATTGCTGTTGTTGGTGTAGTCTTAAAAAGGAAATAAATATTTTGTTTTTATTTTTGAATAAACAAATGAGTGGATATTCAATAAAGAATCTTTATCATACACATAAAATGAGTATTGTTTATTCTCGTTTTATCGACATATTTTATTCAGCAGTGTTTTATGAAGAAAAAAAAAATAGAACTTTGTATTAGAGAAAGTTTAATTTTATTAAAGTATTGATCAAATGATAAAGAATCCTTTTCATATCGTTTCATTAAATCCAACAAAATAATTCTTTTTTAATTTCATGAAGACTTGTTCATATTGTTGTCAAGTAATTTCATCGTAATCATGTTGAACGTATTATCTTTGTTTAATTCATCAATCACTACATATTTACATTAAGTCTATAATACCAACCCTTCAATCCGAATGCTTGTATGGAAGTAAAGAAGTCTAATACCTATACTCACATCTGCTGATCAAAAGAACTTTTCTTGTCTTTTTACTGATAGTAATATTCGTTTTAAAAATGTTGAATAGTGTCATTATTGTTTAGTTAATTTCTTTTCAAAGCAAGAATTTTTCAGCAAAATTCTGAAATTGTCGATGAAACGAGAAGATACTATTCAATAAACGCTCTTCAGTTTGGTTGTATAATAGAATCTTTTATTGTTGAAAAATATGAAATAAGTTCTAACAGACAAAAAAAACCTATTCATTAGAATTATATTGTTCATATAAGTTTATAAATTATTAAAGCTTCAGTTCATCTGTTAATATTTTTGATTAAATGACAATATTTTTTATGAATGAAAAGTAGATGGAAAAAAACAAAAAAACATTTTTTCTTTATCGAATTTCTATATTTGCTGCAGATCATCTTGACATTTTTTAAACTTACTCGATTTTGAGAAGATAATTGAGTATTATTGCTTGATGTTGAAGTTTTTTTTACTTCAAAATCACTTTCCTAAATATAAATAAATTATTTTCTATGATCAAAAACAAAAAACTTAATCTTAACATAATTCATAATAATATTAATAATCAATTGTCAGAAAAAAAAAAGAGAATACTAATAACATTTTTAAAGATTTGTCTTTAAAGCAAATGTATTTACAATTAATAATTGTATAGCAATAAAAGAATCATTTTCATTATGATAAAAAAATTTCTATATTTAAAAATAATTTCTTGTTGTTTTTTTTTTCTCCTCGATTAATTTACCTTTGTTTTACTTCGATATTCATTTGATTGATCTTTCCATGGTGTATCATAAAATTGAGAATTTTTTTTAGAAAATTGACTATCATCATCACTAAAAACAAAGAAATGACATAATGAATATTATCATTAAAAATTTGCTCAGTATATTATGAATGGATAAGATAATGCATTCATCAATCTGTCGTCAGATGACGCGCATGAAATTTATCATCATAGCAAATTTTTTTTTTTTTTTGTGTTTGTTTTAACAATCACCTTATTTCTGGTGAATAATCATTTGATGGACGTCGTTGATCAAGTACTATTTCTCTAACTTTACTTGCTAAATCTTCTGCTTTATTAAAACCTTCTTCAAGTATAGATGGATTTGTTGAACGCCATCGACCATCTAATTCTACAAAATCTTTTCGTTTTGTTGCTGTTGTTGTATTATTTCCTATATTTGAATCATCATAATCATTCCAACGATCACCTAAAATACAATATTAAACAAATATTCTAATAGAAAAAAAATGAGAAAACTTACTATAATGAGATGATGATGTATCACTACCAACACCAACATATTTATCTCTATTAACTTTAGCTTTTTTACGTTCATCTCGAAGTCGATCATCATCTTGAATAAATTCAACTATTTCTTTTACTTTATGACGTACTAAAAAAATAAACAATTTTTTTCATTTAGAAAAATAATCTTTTTTTTTACCATTAATGCCTTGATCTTTGCCTTGTTCATCAGTATAAGAAAAGCTTTCTAAGCTTTTAAGATCATAAAGATGTTCTCTTGCTGATGTTACCACTTTTTCACTACCATTTTTAATTAAATAAAGTAAAACGAGAAGTGACTAAAATGATGAAGAAAAGAAAAAAAAATTACTACTATTTTTTTTTTTGTTTGTTGACACAAAGTAATCAACATAAAAGTTTCTTGTTTTCTATTATTTCTTAATTATAGTTAAATGTCCTTTAGATGAAATATGATATAAAAAAAAAAAACTTTATACAATGTACATTTTATTACTTTGAAAGCATAATGATATTTACAGTTGAATATTTTAAATAATTACTATTTACATATATATATATATATATATTTCGTGCATAATAATTATTTCAACAACGATTGAATGAATATGCATAAAAACAAATATTCGTTTCAACTTTATTACGAATATGAAAATAAAAATGGTGAAAAAGAACAGAAAAAAAAAATTATATAACAGGTCTTACAGCTATTTAAAAAAAAAAGCAGGATCAGCTTATGTTGTACTCTAATTGAGAAAAATTTGTCTTACCTTTATCTTATCCAACGAAGTTTTTATCTTACTCTTTCTTAATACTACTATAGTTGAAAGACTCTAATTAGAGCACGTCGTGTTAGTCCCAGATTCGAAAACTTTGAACCAGATAGGCTCTAACTCTAAGTAATAAATAGGAAAATAATATAGTAGTAGAGATGCGTTGGGTAAGCTTTTTTTTTTTTCGTACTCTGGCTAAGAAAAATTTTTCTAATTTTTACTCTACTCTGCACGAAAGCGAAAGGTAACCATGCACATCTTTAGATCTATTACAATGTCATCGTTCTGATATGAATATTCTCGAAAAAAATTTCAATGGTTATCTAGCTTGTTTTCAAGCGTACTAAACTACGTACTTTATATGTTCGTCGCCAATATCTTTTATCTTGTCCAAAACATCGTTTCCAAAGCATTCCTATCACCTACAATAATATGATAGAAAAGAAAAATAATATATAAGTTTAATATTTGTAATATATAATTTACCTCATTATAATGTTCAAATGAATATGAGAGTTGTGAAAGTTCTTGTAATAATTTTCCAGGTGGTCCCCAAGATTCATCATTTGTTGCTTCAACAACTTTAGCTTCAGTTTCCGTATAATTCATAACAATATTCGTTGCTTTGTCAAATAATTCACGAACTTTATAAGGCATTGTAGGTATATAATTACTTAAATTAATTTTACTTAGATCCATCTTTGTTATTATTCTTTCTTTCA